AATCGTATTTACCTTAGAGTACGTGTGCATACGTTGATGAATGTGTGCCTTAATATTCAGATTGTAGACCCCTAGCTTATTTGTTTATAGATAACCAAAAATGATCTTCTTACCTCCTTTATTGAAATGTATTTCTCTCCTTTGTTTGGTTGACTTATCAACTTGGTCAGTTTGCCAGCTCGTTTGGCCGTTGAGCCCCGGGCAGCTAATTGACTCCGGCTGCGAATAAGACGACTCCTTCCTTTCAACGACTTCGAATGTGCATCTGTTCCAGACTTAGAAATATACTTCACCCCTACGTTCGTTAGTGATCCAGGAAGAGCGCCTGGTGAATGTTCTAAATATGATAAATGGGTATTCAGGTTATTTCTACGGCTGAGCGAGGAGCGTTGTTTGAGGCGCATCTGGCGATTTTGAAGGTCACTCGCCGTGATGAAGGCATTTATCGAGGCAGATGAGGAAGAGGCAGCAGATTCAGCGATTGGAGAGCTGTTCTTCGCATTAATAACAAAAGTTGGTCTTGTGCAGTCATCTGGTAGATGCTCGGTGGAAAAAGGTTTAGATTTTATCTCATTTGTGTCGGGTGCAACATTAGTAGCAGTGGTTGACGCGTAATTCGGTTCTGACTGATCAACTTTATTAGTGTTTTGTGTCTTATGATGCAACGGTGTGGAAAGGCCGGGCCAGTCCTGCAATTCAATCTGACCGTCAAATGAATCAGGCAAATGAAAAAATCCATTAAAAATTTACAAGAAGAAGCACGTTCAGAGGTTAAATAAAAAAATTTGCCACAAAATAACGATATAAAAATGCACATTACTGATTTACTGAGTATAGAGATAACATAATAAATAAAGTAGAAAAAGGATCATTTTGCCGAAGCTAAATGTATAAAAGAATAAAGTTGCAAAAATCTGAGTAGATGAAAAAAAGTGAAGAAAAAATTTTTTTCATTTTATTTAAAACTTCCGAATATCTGGAATGGAGGATCCAAGGAAATAACGTGAACCCTTAATCAAGAATTTATAGCAGTGAAAACAAAATTAAAAATAATGAAAAATCAAATTTAGTTGATCGACAAATATATAAAAATTTTTCTAAATAAAATTAGCCCGAATAAATATGGCTAACCGAAATAAGAGATAAACTAAAAAAATAAAAAGTATAAAGACCAAGATGGTGTGGTCTTTTTTGTGGTCGCAGTCTCCTTCCGTTGCATAAAAGTTGTTTGACCTTGTTTTCGCAACTTGGTCATATTAGAA